TTAATTATATGTATGGAAATAATCAATATTCATAAAATTATTATACAAGTAATTCTTAAAGTATTAATACTGATTTATAATAAATAAATTGCCAGTATTCCCATTCCAGGTACAATTTTATTTTATGGCTAGTAAAATTTTAAATAATAAACCGATTAATGTTATGAAAAAGCTGTTGTAATAGTACTAATATAATTCATGCAACACGCAAAATAGTTCGTCAATGCATCCGGTGCTTTCGGGTAAACCCCGGACTGATTGGTCCCGGTTTTTCTTAAATAACTCAACAACCACGCCTCGGATAACTTTTTTGCAAAGGAAAATATTGTTTAAAATCACCTCAGTTCCTCCCCATTTTAGGGCCTAAGACTAGTTCTGTGTAATATAAGATGTTATAAAGTACGAAATATATACTAAGATAGCATATAAGTATGTTATGAAGAGAACTGTAAAGAGAGAACTGTGTCTCTCCGTACTGTTGGAATCTCATCTGCCGAAGCTCGACAAAATATCACTGGGGCCACTCAAAGTCTCCGGCTTTTACACGCTTTTAGTATATGTTCAATCTACAGCATTGATCGTCCCGGAAAATGTACTTGGCTGGTCCGAACATTTTCAACGAGCAAATTGCCAGTTGATTGTCCGAAACCTCTTCAAAGGGCTTTGTGCCATCCGGGGCGCAGTACCTGTTCATTCTGTAAGTCATTATCGGTTTATATCCAAACACCTCTGCGAGTTGCTGTAACATAAATAAAATGCATTCAATTCGTGCATAAATCCTTAATACAGTAACGGTTACTCTTAATAGAGCAAAAAAGGCAGCAGTGGGTAAAATGAATAAAACTTTTCGAAAATTCGTAATAACGAAATTGCGAAGTTCAAGCAGTACTTGAATTCCAATGAATAATAGAGAGAGCGATAGTTTTGTTAAAAGCTTATTAAATAAATCGTGTCACACCGTCATAAACCCGTCCAATTCAGGATAAAAAATGAAAATTCCCATTACAAATTTTGAAGTTCACCCTCAAATCATATTACACCTAATTTTTTCAATTTGGAATGTAAATGTTTCAATTTCTACTCACGTTATAATTTCTACTCACTGACTTAAGATTATATATAAAATTATAGAAAAAAAGAACCAGTGAATAACGATTAACATTTAATTGTTGATTGGTAATATAGCAATTAAAAAATTTGCACCGCTTGTTAATAGAAGTTGTGGCATGAACAGAAATCGGGACATTTACTACGTATAGTTACCTGCGTGAGCGGACTCGTATTCGTCGTAAAAACTCCAGCGTACTTTCTTCTCCTAGCTAGACGTAAACAGTATGCTTCCAGTTCTTTCATCACGATAACATTCTGGGCTGGTCTCAGCTTGCAGCTTGTCGCCATCATAAAACAATATATAATCTGGCCCTTTCCTTCCGGCAGTTCTTGTTTTCTGATTGGTGCCTCGAGCTGTTCGAGAAAATCAAAGATTATCCTTAATTTGGAGTCCAGTATTAACTTGGGCATGTCCCAAAGATCAAAATTAATCCCAATTCCGATTGTTCTCCCATCTCTCGACGACTTCGCTAAGAAACTGAGGTTTTGCTCGACCAAGGGATTCCATAATTGTTCCATCAGTATTCGGTAATCCTCTCTAGTTACGCCAGGTATCAAACAAGTCCCTCCACAGCAACAGAACCCTTCTGTGATAATCCTATAAGGGATAAGCGAACGTTTCAAAAAAAGAAATCTCTGAAAAAACTTGCCCTGTTAAGGCTCAACAATAAAGCCAAAAGATGCGCTTCTGTGTTTTTTTTACGTAGGTTCGCGTCTTGTCGCCACACATTTTATATATATATGTA